GCCACTTTGTTGCAATTGAGAGCAATTGGAGAAGATATCGCCATGTAGGATTGAAATGGTATGTATAACCTTCAAAATAGATCAAATCATCAAAGGTTAATAATGTTCCCATTAGTACGAAAAGATAGTCTCATACTAACTTTCATTTCCAAACTATATAAGTCTGCTTTACTTTTGCACACGAATGAAGGAACTAATTATTAGTTACTGCTACCCGCAGTAGACACTCTGCAAATATGTTAAAAGAAAAAAAATTATGTTTTAATATTCTTCCTTAATTAAATGTACTTATAGTTAGAAAGACTTATTAAAACAGGATAGACAAAGGAATAAAATGGAAAAGGATTAATTAAATTTTATGTTAAGAAAAACAAGGTGGACTTATACAAAAGACAATATCAAATTTTCTTTTTCTTTTTTTCGGGCAAAGCGTAGCCCGCTTAATGCTAGTAAAACCCAAATTTTTACAATTTTACCCTTATTTGAAAAAGTATAAAAATTAATCTCCTTTTTGTTATTAGAAAATCTAAAATCTTCTAATCTTCATTAATATTCAACTCTTTAAATATTTCTTTGAAAAAATCTTGCCACCGCAAGTATGTATTTTTTTTTGCTTTTTCTTTATTATACATATATATATATGTTCATCAGATTTGAAAAAAATAAATATTTTAAAAAAAAGCAAATTCCACGCTTTCACTGTGCGAATAGCCAGCGACACTGCGTCTATAGGCCGCGGGCAGCCCGATGGTGACCCGCGCAGAGTGGGCGGGAGGCCAATCGGCCGCTCACCTGGTCAACGCAGGCAACCCATTGGTTGCGCGCCCTCTGTGCGCGGGTCACCGGCGGTAGACGCAGTGCCGCCGGACGTTCCCGTAGTGAGAGCATGGCCTTCGCTCTTTTTAATTTTTTTTCCAAATCTAATATAATTATTTGTTTTATCTTATTTTTTTTAAAAAAATTAGATGTTATGTAATTATTTATTTTATTTATGCGTCGAATTGTATTCGTTTTATATTACTTGATGTAATGTGTAATAATTTTTTGTTGGTTAATTTTTTCATAAAAATTAATTGAATAATTTTTTTGGTTAAGATAAAGTTAATTTAGGCCAAGTTAAATATTCATTTATTTAGGTAATGTTAATTTATTTTTTTAATTATTTTAGTTTGTTTAATGTTATCTAATTATTAGTTAGTAAGTAAAATATACTACTACAAAATTATACAAGTCAATTTTAATAATTATTGAGTTTAATAATAATTCTGCTAATGTCAATTTCATTATTTTTTTAATTTAAAACTTATGAAATGTTAAAATGATGAGTCTTTTATTAATAATAATGAAAAAGGGCAAAATAGTCATAAAGTGGGCTCATCTAAGGATTTAGTGGGCTACATTTAGTCCCTCACTTGTTTTTAATACTCCACCCAAAAATAATGATGTCCACTTTGCTAAATGAGATCCATATTTTTGAAAAAGAGGTACTAGAATCATCTATTAATGATTTGCTCCTAATTAAGTAGTATTATCCATAAACCTTAATGTGAAATTGGGATTAGAAGAATCAAAAAGGCACATACAAATGTGCAACTTTTGTCACTGGGGAAAAGACTCATGAAGAAGACAGTTTCCTAAGTCATCAGTCAAATTGACTTTGACCCCCCAAAGTAAATTAGTAAAAGCTTCCATTTTCATACATGCTTCTTCGCTCCATTGTGCATAATACTCCTTCCGGTCCTTAATATAAATTATTTTGATTTGTCCTAAGTTTTACCTAATACATATTTTCAATCGATAAAAAAACTTTAGAAATATATTTTCACATTTGTTTTATTCTCTTGATTATCAAGACATATATTTAAGATTTTTATTTTGTCGATAAAAAAGACGTATTAGGTGAAATCTAGGAAAAGTAAAAATATTTAAGGACCGAATGAAGTAGCATATTTTCATTCAAGCATCATTGATTCATCGGGTCAAAAGAAAGACCCGTTGCTTTTGCGGTCCATGAATAACGCGTGTGTGTGTGTGCATGCATGGATCGTGCATGGACTATGGAGTATTATGTCATATATATGTCCGAGGTCTTGCGTTTCTATTAGTGTACGAGGCTTTTTGACTCGTGTTTCCACATTTGTCATAGTATTTGCTTTTTCCTTTGGTTCTTTCCTTTCTTTTTCCTTGTTTTTGGGAAGTAATCTTGGCAGGACTTTGTCTAAATAACTTTTAGTTATTCAATTGTTACATGTTTATTGTACATGAATGCTATGTACAGTAGAAGTGTAAAATAGAGTTGATTTTGTGGAGATGGATATATAATCTCATTAGACAATATTTTTTTGGTTACTTATCAACTCAAAAACCGATTTCCTCTAACCCAATAAGTCTTTCTTATTCTCTCAAACCCTAAAAAAAGCCAGAAGTGGGAGAGTTAAGTGCGATGATTATAGGATTAGGATGAAAATGGTTATTACAATACACGTGCAGAGTATGTACATCTCTCCTAAGTTAGTCTCCAAGCACAGCAGAGAGTTAAAATTTAATCCATATGGCCGGTGTGTTTGAAAATCATGCATCCCCTCGTATATTTATAAACCAATTCATATCAGAAGTGTTTATAAGAAATTAGTGACACTACACCTAACAACAAAGATGTTATACGGGGTTTCTAATGAATATTGGTTATACGACGACCGTAGAAATTTGGATGAATTTTTTGTTATAATTTCATTTTTTTCTCATTCGGGTCAAGATCGGTTATTGTTCTAGAATAGAGCTTGGAGCAAGACAAGATTGAGACTCTCGTACAAATTAATGCAATTCGAATCTATATCAATTTTGCTAGAAGGAATATTTTTGTCGTCTCTATAATTAAAAACATCTTTGTGGTGTGTAATCACTTTGTTTTACAATAATTATCATATATAAAATATAATATTATTCTAAAATAGTAGGGTATAAACAACAAAATTATTTTGGAGCTGAGTAGTGGGTCGATTGTGACGCAGATTTCGTCTTTTGTTTCCCAATACGGAAACGAAAATTTCAATCTGCTAAGTGGTATCAGTTGCTTCCTAACTAATCAATTCAATCAATCAGAACTGTGTGGTATGGAAAATCCAATAGATTTCAGTCACCCCAGAACCACAAATCAATTGATATTCACAGTTCGTGCAGCGAGATGCTTATCAACATCGAATTAAATTGATCATTTTGAACGCATCCAAAATTTGTTATGAAAATTTGGATGAAATGAGTTGGTTAATTAATATAGAAAGCCAGCAATGGCCGTCCAATAAATACTGTGGTCATACTCGTGATATATGGTCAAATTTAATTTGATAAATTGAAACTTTTTTTTTTTCATTTTTTTCCCTCCAAGTGAATTCATAGTTTTAAGTTTCTCTAACGTCTTAAACTTACTCTGTTAATTTCTTTGAATTTTCTTCTTATGTTTACCAAGCTTTTCATGGAGAATGAACAATAGTGCTTTTGTATGATTTTAAGTGGGGTCATAGTTCCATTAAAAGAAAAGAAATTGGTTTGATCAATGGTTTTTTTTAATCAATAGGTGTCTTGAATATGTCCAGACAATGGGATATTATTTTCTGTATCGTATTTACTTTTCCCCTTATTAATTATAGTATTATTATACACTTTTCAGCAGACAAATAACACACATATTTTTTTAAGGGCAATACCGTTCCAATAATATTTTGAGAAAACAATATTAAATCTTTTAGTTAACGATTTGAATGAAAATGAATTTTGAGTGAGTTCAGATAATCTAAGTCACGAGCTTCAAAGATTTAATACGATGATTTGAAAGACCAGTTGACCACAGAGACTATGGATAACATAGGAAATTGTTATATTTCCTCCTCCTCCTCCTTTCATTTTATTTTATTTTTACTTTTTCTGTTTAGTCTTATCGTATTTATCCATCACGACGGTAATAGGGAACTCAAACAAATCTTTTTTCTTTTTTTGGTGGTAATAAAGTACTATTTATTTCATTTAGTGTTCAAAATCACTTCTCTAGTATTTTATACTCAATCGAAATATCAATGTTTAAATCAGTAATTTGAATTTATATATGATACTTAACTCAATTTCAAGAGGTAAAACTCTCATCATATATTTTTGTAACCATGCCTACATGATCCAACAAACCTCCGATTAATTTACTTGAACATAATATCGTTGAACCAAACGCGAAAACCCAAATCAGGATCGAATTAATTTGGTCCAAAATTGGAGTAAATGAGCTTTCCTATGAACCTACGGTATCTTATCGAGAGACAAAGTGTAAAAGCATAGTGTAAACACAGAATATAAAACCTTGTTTCCCTGAAGGAACATATAGGTCACAACTCACAGGATCTATATAACTCAATTGGTCCATCTGTCCCAGCAACAATGACTTGTGCCTAATGCTTGCTTAGTATGCATTTTGCTGGATGGGGACTCCTTAACTAGCTATTCAAAATTTTGCAGAGTTTTTTTAAGGATGAAGGAGCTAATAATCTTTTTTGCATATTCATAAACCCGCATCCTACAGCTACTTCAAACGATGTTAATTCAGTCCTGAACTTTTGAAAAGTCGAGGTAGAATTTTACCACTCAACTAACTAAACATGTTAGTGATAGAGTGAAGTAGACTATTGTATCTTTAACTATTAGTTGAGTGGTCGAAATTCATCATGGATTTAGAGTAACTTCTTTAAAATTCTTTGACCAATCGTCCAATCCATCGACTAAACGTACAATTACCGATGGGGGAACACTGTACTATATATACATCAAAAAGAAGTTAATGATGTTTAGAACTCTTAGAAATCAGAAGAGTGAAACTTTAATTGTGATTAATTTCCTAGTAACATTATGTGAGTGGGGACAAAACATGAGAGAACCACGCGTGTTGCACGTTTGAAGTGTGCCCTTGCAAGTCCGCCCACTATAAATATGTGGTTCAATTTTAAATTTTTGCGTGTCCAATTTCAGACTCTCTCCACTTCGTCCACCCATCAAAAGATTTTCTTCAGTCATTAAACACACACACACACACACACAGTAAGTGGAAGAGAAAGAGAGAGAGAGCAAGAATATGGTGAGGACTCCTTGCTGTGATGCATCAGGGATGAGAAAGGGGACATGGACCCCTGAAGAAGACCGGAAATTGGTTGCTTATGTTACCAGATATGGCTGTTGGAACTGGCGCCAGCTTCCTAAATTTGCTGGTACGAAGAAAGGGTTCCCTAAACTCAAAATACTCCTTCCTTCATCCCGTCTTGAAAAAAACAAAAGTTCTATTTACTCCGTCGAATTGATAAAAGACTTCAACAAACAATATTCATGATGCATGACTATTTTTGCGGAACAAAAGAATTGAATCGAATTGCTAGATAGTCTTCTTCATGTGTAAGCATGCATCATGAAATTCAACGTTAGATTCTACATTATAATTACTAACTGTACGTACTACTTTCACTTGTCATCAAATTGAAGGTTTATCAAGATGTGGAAAGAGCTGCAGGCTGAGATGGATGAATTATCTGAGGCCTGATCTCAAGCTCGGAAACTATACGAAAGAAGAAGACGAACTAATCATTAAGCTGCATGAGTCACTAGGGAATAGGTAATGCATTTTTCTTTAATTACTACTTCCTTCGTCCCATAAAAATAATCTACATTTAGTTCTGACATTTGCACTAAACACAGTATTAATTCCAGAACTTAGTGTGAATTATTTTTTTGTCGGATAATGTTTAATTTTCTTTACCATCTTTCATGGTTTTTTCGGCGTGCAATTAAATTTCCTTGACTTCTCAAATATAATAATTGTGACGTGTTTTATTTGTTTCACAATATGTATTACGTACCCTAACAGGTATCAAATCATATGTTATACTATGATCTATCATTAAGTGTCAAATTATAGATGGAAGGAACATAATATAGTTGGTATTTTTCACAATATAATGTACTTGCTTAATATTCTAGCATTTTTTCCCCTTCACTACTATACTGGAAAAAAAATATAGTGACATATTTTCATGACCTATATGAATACATAGTAGTACTTAATTTAGTTGTACGTAATAATTTTGCAGATGGTCAGCCATAGCAGCCCATTTACCGGGGAGAACAGACAATGAGGTTAAAAATCATTGGCATACGAACCTCAAGAATCCCTCAAAACAAGCAATGAGCGAATCAAAACGAAAATCAAAGAGTCGTAAAAGAAGAAGATCGCAACAACGGGAAGAAGAAAAAGAAGATAAACTTGAAGGAAGAAATTTAATAACAACTCAAGAAATCCTTGAAAGTTCTGAATTTTCATCAAAGCTCATAGCATCATCATCATCGTCATCATCAGTGTCTTCAAATGAACAACTCTGTTCCTCCGGCACTCCTCCACCAGCAAGAGCTGATAATGATAACACGGTGTCCACCGTCGACTACTCGAGTACAAATGCCCTAACCGAATATGATGATTTCATGGCAGAAATAATAGATGGAGAATTTTCCGGTGGGAGTTTCTGGACGGAACCACTCCTAATTGACGATTACAACTTCTTAAATTATCCACCCTCTCCTTTTAGTGCTAGTGAAGTATTGTTCTGCTCCTATGATTATTCCTTTGATGATATTGAGGATCTAAACCCCTTGAAGATCTGGTGATGGTACGTAATTTGTTACGAGTACCTTAATTGATTAATCTTTGCTTGTTAGAGGTAATTTAAATATATATGTCCAATCAAAAGCTAATGTACGTATATGAAATCGCAAACCAATATTATTATGGTTCACTGAATGCATGTCTTTTGGGTTATTATGGTACTATTATTAATGATTTCTACAATCTCCTTATTTTCTCTCAATTTAATCTTTGGTAATTGGTATAAATAAAAAAAATACAAATAAACAAATGTACATTTTTATTCCTAAAAACGAAAATCACATTTGCAATGTGAACAGAAACCAAATAATGATCTCTAAAAAATTGACATTTTTTTTCCGAAGGGATATATATTTTTTTTTTGTAACACCGGAATCCTACCAGAGATAGGTAAACCCACGCCCACTGCAATAATCTGCAAATCACAGTGGAAGGTAAACCACCCTAGGCAAGCCCGGGGTGATAAACTTGGGTGCGAAATCGGATATTCATTAGCGAGTTAACAATAACAAGTCCCTAGAGTTACCAATAGGTAAGGTAAAAGCCAACCCCTCACTTTTTGTTAAAGTAGGGGATTGAACTCATGATCTCCTCCGAAGTGATACATATTATAGGTTATAATTTAAGACTGCTAAAATATTACACATGATATATGGGAAAATGAAATATTACTACTTTGTGCATGCCTTCTTCTAGTATTCAAAGATCTTCATGTTCTAATTGATATTATTAAGAGAGATACTGATGGGACCAGTCAAGTAAGACCAGGGTCAAACTAATATTAAGATTCGGGCTACCCAAATGAGAAGCAGATCTGAAGCCGGGCTGTCCATTTGACATAACGGGGTCCACGATTACCATTTATAGTGAGAAAGGGAAAAGCGCCATTCTGGCCTGTGTGAGTTGTCATCACCACTTTCGGTAAAGAAAACAGAGGTGGCGGATCAGAGAAGCCAGGCTAGCCGGAGAAGGACAACAGACTGGACAAATGGGGCTTTGACCCTAGCATCACACGCTCCCCAGATGATCCAGACCATTGATCTTGGTCCTGACATTGTATATACATCACTACAACTTTCAAGGTTAGGGTTATAGTAACATCATTTTCTTTAGCTATTTTACTCCCATACTTTCTAACTTAGGCATCAGAGTGTTTGCCCGGAGCTTTACCCGGACATACACTAACAATCCTTGTTTTACAGGATAAGTAGATAATCTATTGACATTTGGTGGTGGATAATTCGACCTCCATCATCTGGCACCGACCGTGGGGAGAGATAGTACATTACTTAGAAGTGCTCCTCTTTTCCACCTTTAACCATGGCTACTCCGAGGAATGAGCCAAAAACCCCTGGAGGAGACCCAACCGCGTTTACCGCCCCACCTACTCTCCAGGATACTCCTGAGGAAGGGCCTTCCCGACCCAAACCAACGGCTGAAGAAATACAAGAGTTTGTCCGTGCCAACTTCCATGAGTTGGAGCGCCTGCTCCAAAACAACAGACAGGACGATAGAGGGAAGGAGCCAATGGATCCGAAGGAAAAGAGGAGAACCTCTTTTCCAGATCCTAGGTAGCTGTTCTCAATGAAGAGGAGGCTCCCTCTAAAGGTCATTACACTGTCAGCAGTAGCTCCTCCGGGCAGGGTGATGAAGAATCTGGCCCACAAAGGAATAGATCCCCCGCACACAGAATTGTCAGAACGACGTCTTCCGGTAGCCGACAAGGGAGGCGATATCATTCGTATACTCATTACGGGTCGATGAAGTATGGAGGAAACTTGCCTTTCTCTTCAGAAATAGAGAAGTTCACAGCAGGGCAAAAGTTTAAAAGCTCCCAAAACATAGGTGTGTACGACGGGAGCTCAGATCCGGATGACCACCTAAATGTGTATAACTTGGTCATGAAACTATTTGCTTACCCAATGCCAGTGTGGTGCAAACTCTTTCGGGTCACACTGCGGGATAAGGCTCGCTTTGGTTTGACAACCTTGTTTCCAGAAGTGTTCGTTCTTGGACAAAGCTGGAAGAAGCATTCTGCCTACACTTCCTGCCACAGAAGAAGTTCCGAAAAGCTCGAGAAGAGCTATTCACTATCAGGCAAAGGGATCAGGAGATGCTACGTGCTTACGTGGAGTGTATTGCAGAGGAGAGTGCACAAACAGGATCCCGGTCCGATGAAATACTCATTGTTGCTTTCATAAATGGGTTGCGGCACGGAAGATTTTACACGAGTTCATGGAGGATCCTCTGGATACCTTCAAAGAAGTCCTAAAAAGGGCGAACAAATATGCCCGAGGGGAAGAGGCCCCGAAGCGTAGAGACGAGTCTCAGAGTGCCCGAAGACCTGAAGTTAAGAGTCACGGCCCGTCACCGTCCATCAGACGGTCACTCCGAGAACGTTTGGGTGGCATCAAGAGTTTTCGGAACCTCACTCCACTAAACAAAACGCCCAAGAAGATCCTGTAGATTGTTTCTGCGGAAGGCATATTGAAGCCGCCGCCGAAGATGAATAAGTCTGCCTTTAAAACAAAATCGAAACCTATACTGTGATTTTCACGATGATCATGGGCATAATACAAATGATTGCAAAGATCTAAAAGGAGAGATAGAATGCTGTATCCAGAATGGTCAGCTTGGCAAGTTTGCTTTGGAAGCGAGGAAGGGTGATAGAAATTCTCGGAAGGAGGATCGCGTGGCTGATACTTTTGGAAAGGATAGACGAGGGCAGTATAACTGGAACAGAAACCGTGACGTAGAGAGGCCCAATCGGGAGGTCAACCAAGTTGTAACAGGAGACATCTTGAGCATCATAGGAGGGCCAGCCGGAGGTGACTCGGAATCACAAAGAAAAGCTCGATGTGGGAAGGTCCCAGACAAAGACACCAACAACCGGAGGCTTAAGCCTTCCAAAATGATCACCTTCTCCTATGAGGATCTCGTTCCGGAACGCCAGGTGGGAGCAGATGCTGTTGTCATCCGTGGAAGGATTACGAATAAATTTGTCCATAGAATCTATGTGGACGGAGGAAGTTCAGCAGAAATCATGTACTGGCATTGCTTCGTTCAGTACGGGGAAGGCGTCCGAAGGATGATGCGGATGGTGAACACCCCTTTGGTGGATTTTGCTAACCGTACCATATAGCTTGAAGGAATAGTCACGCTGCCTGTGACATTGGGAGATTATACCACTGAGAAGCTAGTGTATGTTGACTTTGTCATTGTCATAGCAGGATCTCTGTATAACGTGATTTTAAGGCGTCCTGCACTGGAGAAATTCAAAGCCATAGTGTCAACACTACACCCGATGGTGAAATATCCTACGAAAGCAGGAGTTGCTACGGTAGTAGGAGATCAGTATGCAGCACGCGAATGTCATAGAATTGCACTGCGCAAGAAATAAAGTAAAGAGAAAGATGCCATGGAAATTGGCGGTCTAAGGAGATACTACTCAAGTTCTAAACATGCATTCTTAAGTATAAGGAAATACTACTCAAACTTTTCCTGTTCTCAAGTTCACTAGATGAACTGAGCTGTCACTTGAACCGGTAAGAGCAAGGGTGGAATCAGAACTTAAACTCAAGCATGTCAATCCTTCAGTGTGATAAGTATGTCCTAAATGTAAAAGTTCATCACATATTAGAGCAAAACAGAACTAGCATCATCAAGATATCAACCTATATAAGGCGAAGTTCATGATTGACTGAAATTGGAAAATAAAATAAAAGGGACCAATTAAGGAAGCAAGGAGGCCAACACGCATCAACCCATGGATAATACTCAAGAGGTTCAAAGATTAGTACTCCACAGGCTAGTGATTTGTTAATTTCAAACCAGAACTAATTACCAAATTAGTAATACTCCAAAAGGCACAAGTTGCAGATCTCAAAACTTGATTCCCACTCAAAAAAAAAAAAAAAAAATTCACGAAACAGTTAAGAGGTAACTAGTCAACTCTTGCAAAAATACCCTTTGAATTTAATGGTATAAACACTTGCATTCAATTGAAAGTCCTAGATTAAATACTTTCTCTGTTGGTGCTGTCATCGGTTTGTTCCGATGCTATTAATACTACCAGTGCTTCTCTATCATAAATATTTCCACGGAGCAAGATGCAAGTATAAGTTAACCAAACTTCATTAGTTCCCTTATTTAAAGAAGAGATGATGAAGATCTGATCTTGAAACCTAATAGTTCCCAAAGAAAGACTTCGTTCACAAAAGTTTCACTACATCAGAATAATAAAGATGCAAGCAACTTAGCAGAATGGAAAAACAAATCCAAACGTTACTAACACAAAAGCTCTATCATGGATATTTCTATAAAAAAAGAAAAAAGAGCAAGATGCCAGCAAAAGTCAACAAATTTCATAAGTGCCCTGAGAAGAAAAGAAGTGATGAACGTTCAACCTTGACAACAACCAGCTCTCAAAGAAGAGACCATTCACAACAAATTTTACTACATCAAGATTCATAAAGATGCGATGAACTTAGCAGAATCAAAACACTAAATTCACACCTCCAACAACATGGATAATTCCTCCAACTTTCGGGTTTCATATCCTTAAAGTGGCATCCTCATAGCCAATGCAAATGGTTTTACATTCAAAATGCAATCAACAAAAAGCAGATGAAATTTACATGTACTCTGAGAAGAGAAGGGAATAGAGAAGGCACTAGGGAATTACCATCTGGGGTGAAATCGCCACAAGTAACAGTGGTATTATGCGCAGAAAACATGTTAAGGAGAAGCTCACTGACAGCATTCCACAAGAATACAGAGGAATCCTCAGAACCTGCCAAGACCAAATGTCCTCTTGGATGCCACTTAACCCACTGTAAACAATCATTTTCATTCAGAACCTACAGACTCACTGAAAGATAAAAACATATCAAGTAATAAAATGTCAAATAAACCTCAATAGGCTGTCCTCTGTAATCTAAGGTTTTTCATGTCACATTCTGCGATGATATGTCCCACACTTTCACTAGTCCATCAAAGCTTCCGGATGCAAGTAATTGACCATCAAAGCTGAATCCTAAAGTAGAAACCGAATCACTATGACCTGCATACAGCCTAGGGCTGTCAGATCGGGTGGGTTTGGTCGGTTCGGGTGAATCGGTTTTTTTTCAATCTAATTAACTAACCAAAACCGAACCGCATAAACACTGAATCCGAACCGAACCGACCGAATTAACAATCGGTTTTAGCGGTTCGGTTTCGATTTAACCGAGTCAGGATCTACAAACTGAAATGCAAACTTAAACATGTAAAAATCATTCCAGTAAACTGCAAACTGCAAACTGCAACATGATTCCAGCAAATGTTCACAACACAAATGGCAATTGGTCTCATTCCGGCATTCAACAAATGAACTAAACGAGTAACAGGCAACAACACCAACATCCATAACCCACAGCAGGTGACACTAAGTCCAGTGGCCACAACATTACAAGTTTACAATAAACCAACATCCACAACCCACAGCAGGTGACAATAACAGGCCAGTGGCCACAACATTACAAGTTTACAATAAATTTAAAAAGTTTACAGAATCCCAACAACTTAAAAACAGAAAATGAAGAACAAACAGAGTCACAGTTCACAGAATCAGTCTTGTCTTCACACTTTGACAGAATCACAGTTCACAGTTGAACTGAAATCTTCAGTTCTTCGCCTTGGCAATCTGAGAAATCCAAATTCAAAACACAGAATATAAGTGTTCAAATTCATGCCACAAAGTCACAAAGACAAACTCATAATATCATACTGCAAATTAAGAAATTCAGTTTGATAAGTACCTGTTTCAGTCTGCAAAAACTAAGAAATTCAGGCCACATCCTCAGTCCAGATTTGGTTCTCCTATTTCAGCACCTGAAAAAAGATCCAGAAATGAAACCGGTTTGAGAATCAAAAATGCTGAAAATCAGAAATGCCATTTAGTAATGCGAATACCTTCTTCAATTTTTATGAGATCTTCCAATTTTTCTTCAACATCTTCTGCATCCACAGCCTCCCTAAGCCAATCTTGAGCGCATATTAAGCCTTGAACAGTCTTTGGAGTTAAAGAGCTTTTAAAAGCATCCAAAACCCTCCCACTCGTGCTAAAAATAGATTCAGACGCCACAATAGAAATAGGAACGGCTAAAATATCACGAGCCATCAAAGAAAGGATCAGAAACCTTGGACTGTTAACCTTCCACCAGGTCAGGAAATCAAATGTGGGACAATCAGATTCAGTTGTCTCCCTCAAATACTTCTCTAAATCTGAGTTTTTAATATTTCCACCGCTTTCCAAATTTTTCCTCTTCAACAGCTCTGTCCTAAATTGATCCCTAAGCATCTTTGAAGGCTCAACGTCTATCGGAGAAGATCTTTTCCCCAAAACAGCAGATTGAGAAGAACTACTGCCAACAGTGGGGGAAGATGAACTAAATCTAGAATCAGAGGCATTAATTCTAACATATTCCGTATACAACTCCCTCAAAGAACTTTTAACAAAATCCAGTTTCGTTTTCCCATCAACTTCTCCATGCAATCTTTCTAGCACAATTTCCATGTACTCAAACTTATTTCTTGGATCTAAAACAGATGCTATGTTCATCTTTTCATTCTTTTCAATGCTACCATAGTACTTATCAAATTTGGATTTCATCATTAAAGCCATAGCATGTTGTTCATGATCTACAGTTTCATTAATGGTTTTCTTCAACAGCACTTCAATGCAAGTAACATTATCAAAAAAAGAATCTGAAGAAACAAATTTGGTACGAGATACCTTCAACGTAATGTCGTAAAAATGTTGAAGAAGACCAGCCACTCTTCTAGCTTCTAACCAGTCCAATGCCGTAGGCAGCCCTGGCCCTGAATTTTTTGGATCCTCAAGAACATGTTTCAGAGTGTCCCTATAGTGTGGTTCACCTAATTCATACCTCTTAAATGCTCTTTCATAAGCTTGGGCAGTTTCCAACATCAAATATGTGGAATTCCACCTTGTACAAACATCTAGAATCAGATTCTTAGAGCTCTTACACTTTTCTATTTCAGCACATTTTCCAAACTTTGCAATTCTTTGAGGGGACTGCCTAATGTATTTTATTGCAGCTCTAATCCTTTCAACAGATTTACCAATATGACTCAAACCATCCTTAACAATAAGATTCATTATATGAGCCATACAACGAATATGCAATCATTTTGCACCCAAAAGATATTTTTCACGATGACCAAATTGTTCTTTCAAATATTCCATAGCAGCATCATTAGCACTTGCATTATCAACAGAGACAGTAAAAACGTTATCAATTTCCCAATCCAACAAACAATCCTCAATTGACGTCCCAATATCAACACCTCTATCGAAATAGGGCAGAAGCTCAAGATTTTCTTTTTCAGATTCCAACTATTATCAATATAATGAGCAGTAAGACACATATAGTTAATCTGTTGCAAAGAAGTCCAAGAATCGGTGGTCAAACAGATTCTACTAACATTCCCCTTGATTTCAAGTTTCAGTTTTTCCTTTTCAGCCAAATACAACTTATAACAATCAGCAGCTACAGTCTGTCTACACTTGGGAACAAACAAAGGTTGCAACTTTCGCAGAAAATACCTAAACCCTTTTTTCTGAACAAACATAAAAGGAAGCTCATCTATAATGATCATATAAATAAATGCCCTTGTGATTTCTTCTTCATTATACTTCCAGCTGGTTATATTAGCATGTTTTCCTTCCTGAATTTCAACAATTAACTTACTTTGACTACGATCATGGCTCAAAGACAAATACTTCTTATAAACCAGCAAATGACCACGAAGGTTACTTGTACCATGTTTTCTACTTTCAGACCTATACTTAGCACCACAGTAATTATATGCAGCCCATTCGTCACCTTTTGCATCATTAAAAGAAGAGAAATGGGGCCATACCATAGACCTCTTTCGATTTACCCTGCGTTTTCCTGGAGGCTTACAAACAGCAGCAGCTTCAACTGGTCCTGTCGTTTCAACTTGAACATCGATCATGACAGGTTCATCGTCCTCAGGAATATCAGGCAGAGGCATATTCAGAAGGTCCTGAAACTCCTGATCCTCAATCTCCTCAATGTCATCAGTGTTATCAGGAACTTGAGACATCTAAAAAACAGAAAAAATAAAAAAAAATTAGTTCACAGATCATAGTTGACAGTCACAGTCTACAAATAAAATTACAGAGTACACATCACATAACCCCAGTGAGCAGTAGCCAATTCAACCTCTAATGAAACTCTAATGAAAGAAAAAAGAAGCTAAAACAGTAAAGGAAACTGATCAAAAACCTTAAAACCAGACCCAGTGATGACAAAACCCAGAGAACCGCGACCAAAAAAAGACCCACTGATTACAAAAACTAGGGAACATACAATACACGCAACAAAAAAAGAGTACTCAGTGGACAGTGATACAGTCTGCCACAGCCAGCCATCAACAACAACAAGTTTCAAGCACTCAGTCAAGCTCAAGCACATGGATCAGCTGGAAATAAATGGAAAAAAAGGAAACTGAAAAGCAAATCCATATGACCATTTCAGTTTCATCATTCATCAGATTATCAAAAGGGAAGAAACATGAGAAAGAAAATTCAAAAAACTCCAATGATTGAAGAAGACTGAAGACCAAACAAAGAAGACAGAGAACAGAATAAATATTTTGACTTGGAGCATGCAAAACAGAACAAGAAAAAAAGAGGAACAGAAATAGATCGAAAATGTTTTTCCTTACCGTTTAAGTGGTGTCGTCAGTCGCCGTGACCTTCAGACTGGAGGACTGTACTGGCTTTCAAGAGGACTAGAAGATCAAGGGGCAAATGTTTCTTGTTCTTGTAAGCTTCCCTCGGCCTCAGAGCAGCCTTCTGCTTTTGAGAGATCACTGTCAAGACCTGGGCGATGGACAACCTCACTGTCCTCGGTACCTTGCTAAATCCAAAAAACAAAGAAGACAGGCAATCAGATTATCAGAATAGTCCAATCACAAAAAAGAAAAGGAAAAGATCCACATCAGTATTCAAACCATCATGCTAACACTTCATAGCTACCATCACAACCACCATGAGGCTTTTAAAACCATTTTCCACAAGCAAAAACTTTCCTAAAATACATTTCCATGGATGGTTAACCTTTTCAATACCAATGTTCACAGACCGTAATTAACCACTGAACTAACCAACAGAAACAAGGTAAAATAAAAAACAATAGTCAAGCATTAGGACCAAGACAGCTCCAAAGTAGCTTAATGAAACAAATTGTGATAAACTAAATATACAAATCATCCAATGGCAATCGCAAATTACAGAGCAAAAAAAAAAAAAAAAAAACCAACTCGGAAACAATTCAGAACACAATTCAAGTATATCCCAATCTAGTCCAAGGTTATGCAAGAATAAATGAAAAATGGAACAAAAGGAAATGATTCAGAACAACTTACATTTTGGAAAGCTTGTTGGGGGCACTGTCGGACCACCGGTAACCTTAGCAACACAGAGGAGGGCGAGCTTGGCTTAGAAGATCAAGTATCGACTTCGACTTGGGATTGGAATGTTCAACAACCTTCGGAAATCAGAATGAAAGACTAGATCTAGAGTCTAGATCTGCGAACTTCTCATCATTACTCTGCTGATTGACTTGTATTCTAGTTGACTAGAGGAGTGGAGGAGACGCATGTGAGGAATGAGGGAGTGTCCGGAGTTTAATTTCAAAAATCGGAATGAGAGAAATCGGAGGGCCAGATCTGAAAGGGATTTAAGATTGATTTGGTCTGTTTGGACTTTGGAGGAACGGGACGGCAGATTGTTTAAGGGAGATGAGTAAATAACCGGTGAAATGAAGTGAAGGAACGGGACGGCGGTAAATCGGATTGTGGTGGAAGGAGGCATCGCCGCGTTCACGCAGCAGCGGCCGAAAAAAAAGGAGGAAGATTAGAGAGAAATGAGGCAAAACCCTAACTTATTCCTATTTATATTTTTCAAAAAAAATAATAATAGAAAAATCGGGTTTCGGGTGGTGCCCGAAAAATTTTTCCCCCACCCACATCCGAACCGATTAAGGACTGCGGTTTACCGGGTGCACCCGTATTACCCGAATTACCCGATTATCCGAACCGTTTCATCAATTTCGGGTTCGGTCCGGGCGGTTATTCGGTCGACCCGCATAAGTGACAGCCCTAATACAGCCAGCTCAGGTTTCAAATCTTCGCATAGAGTACAGTATACATAGGAGCTGTTCTAACAGCAATGAGGGATAATGGATGTGGCTGCTTAACAACAGCCTAGAAGGCTAGCTAGTATGACTAACTGACCAAAAAAAAAAAAAAAGAAAAGAAAAAAAATTCTTCATTGCGTACCTTTTAACTCAAAAACCCAATCTCCTTGACAAATGTTCCAGAGAAATCCTGTGTCATCTATACCCCCTGTAGCCACTAAATTAGGATCAGTTGGACTGCATGCAACACTTAGGACTTCATCTGCAAAGTGGAAAAGAAACAGTTACGAAAAGATCTTGGGCAGAAGAACATGGTATGAAGAAAACATGCATTGCCAACGCAAAGAAATGGTTCTCCACTCTTATCTGTCCTGAAATTAAAATGATTGGAGTCGAGTAAATAATTCAGAGGAAAAGTCATCTAAAAATGAAAATTAACCAAATGATACTCAGCAAGACAAAACCAAGTACACGAATGTTAAGCAATTGCAGAAACTAAGAGTTCACTCATACATTATTATCCAAAATTAAATCCCAAGCTTCAGAACTCTCCGAAAACAAGCAGAAACAGAAAATAGTGGATATTGACATGGGGAATTCATCAAGCTTCTAAAAAGCAAATCAAATCGACACTGGTGATCAGGGATACTGACATGGGACATATCATCAAGCTTCTGAAACCCAAATCTACGGGTGATCATGACTTTCACACAACAAACAAGAAACAATCATTTCTTATCATTTTTTAGTAGAACCAAACATATTCAAATATTGAATACAAAAGACTAGTCGACAAGGTATCATTACCAGTATGACCCTGAAATATGTGAACTGCGTCATCAGCTCCATCTGAAACCCACAGTCATACGGTAGTACAGAAAACACATTAGAAGAGATAAGATTTGTGGAAGCAAATTTTTTTAAAAATTCAAAAAAAAAAAAATTAGAAAATCGGAATGCTTTAGGTCTCATTGTGTGTGTCTGTGGTTGGCAGTGGAGTATTTGATACAGAAAGACAAGTGTCGAAAGTATGATAATCGGTCAAACTAACCTTCGCAGAGCCATTTCTATTTTGGAGCAGCAGATCAGTATTCCTAGAAGCTGAAAATCGTGGTCTCGAAGACAGGAACGTTTTGTAAATTCGTTGAGCAAATGTCTGTTTGATTCTTTTTCCTTTGATTCTTTGAATAAATTAGATGAATGATTTGATGAAACTAAAACATATGACTAGACTTGTTAAATTGAACTTCGATAATTTGTGTTCTGTTTTAACCTTATGAATGTGTTGTACTTATGTAACTGTGGACTGTAATGCAGTTGTATCTGAGCTATGATTATTAATACTACCTCTGTCCCAAAACAAATAGTCCACATTGAGTTTTCAAATTTATACTAAAAACAGTACAAAACTTAAAATTCAATGTGGACTATTTTTGACGGAGGTAGTAACATTTTAGTTGTAGTAATTGTTTTTTTTTGCCCTTTTGGGGTCATCGCGGTGTGAATATGAGACTTGACATAGTTTAATTAGGCTTCTGTTTATAAGTACATGGTTCTTCCTTTTCAGCTTGTGACAATGAGAGAACACAGGCAGAGAGTGAAAAAGAAGACAAGGGAAAAGAATATGCATTATATATGTATAGAAGAATCATTGAATTTCCGAAATGATGAAATTTTCTGCCTGGAGTTTTGTTTTTACCTTTATTTTGAAAATCTGATTCTGCGTCATGAATTTGGGCGTGTTAATGGGACAATCTTCGCACTGAATTTTGTTGTTAGCTTTTAAGCATTTCATTGGTTTTCTGGTTGTCACGACGCTTTGCATTTGCTATCTGGTTTTAATATTAGCTAGGAACTTGAGATAGTTTGTGGATCTCTGTGCTGCTCTACTTAAAAAATTGCTAAGGGATGCTATGTTACCCGGACTCTTCTATTTGGGGAGAATACCCGTGTCGTGTCGTATCGACACTGGTGTGGGTATGAGTGTCCAGTTTGGCATTTTAACCTAAAATGTCCAAGATTTTTAAAATATTGACGAGTCGGACACTCAGATCCCCGCACCAGATAGGACACCTGTATCCGAGTCCATGTAACATAGAAGGGATGTGAAGATTCTCAAGTTGGTTTATTGAGAGGTTTTCTATTCTAAAAAACTGGTTTTCTTCTCTGACTAAGGAAGAGAAGTCGTCTTTCAGATCCCTACTTTTGAAGCAATCGGATTTCTCAGCTAAATCTCGTTCAGTTTTGTAGAATTACGGCCCGCAAGTTAGCAATGAATTGCAGTTTTCTTTATGTACAAGTATATGATCATGCCAGTTTCAGACATCAAGTTTGTAAAATTGAGTATATCAACAAAGGTTTCCCAAAATGTAGAGGACAAAATGTGCTATATTTTCTCTTCTTTTTTTCTTCTTCTTCCCTTCCCTTATTCTTAACAGTGACAGAAGTAAAAGTCACCAACAAAAAGACTGATCCTTTCTCTTTCATCATAGTAAGATTAGCATCGTTATCACCATTCACACAGGTGAATGGAACTCAATGACTCATGAGTCAAAGAATCTGCCTTCATTTTCCAAGTTCCTTCTTTTATGCATTGTAGAATTTGCCATAAATTAGCTTTTTTGACTCCTTCAAAAGTGTTTTTCAAACCAAAATCAGCAACCGACCAAATTTGAGTTCTGAATTCTGAACCCACCAATCTTTCTACGTTTCAAGTCCTTCTCCAGCCTAAGCGTAGTAATGGCAGAGGCAGTTGCGCTGCTAGCTTGATGAAGAAGAGTTAGACCGTTTTCGGCATTTTGTGAGGTAGATGATGATGAGCTGGAGGAGTACTGCAAATCAAGCACGTTTGCTGGAGTGTAAGCAGTTTCTAATGCAGATTCATAATCTTCCATTGCTAAATCTTGTGTCATAATGTAACACCTTAAGAATGTGTCCTGTTTACAGATGAAATAGAACAAATTAATTTTGTGAGTTGAAAAAGAACAGAACATGTTCTTCAGCCTCAGAAGTTATCATGGATGGATTCATAGTAACCTTATTTACATATGAACAGCTTAGGATAGACTCCTTGAAGGATGGGAATTGAAGAGGAAATAATTCATGAGAAGCAGAAAGAAGTGCTGATGCAGAGAGGATTGAAGGCTTGAACTCCAACAGCTTGGTTTCTGAAAATGCAAAACATCCAAAAAAAAAAAATCAGCTCTGTGTTTTTCAGAACCAAGAAACAACCAGTGGTTAGTTCATTCACTACTTACCATTTTGAGCTTTGAACATAATTTCAGTGGCTCTAGATTTCAGAGCTTGCATTGATGGGAGGTCTTTGAATTGGAACAATGTGATGAAGTAATTGATGAAAGAAAATGGTGTGATGGACCTCATTCTCCATTTCAGAGCTCCAAGAACCAAAAGCTCCATCTTCTCAATTGTTTTACAATCAAACATGAATCCTCCTCCTGCATTAATCTGCAACAGCAAGAACTCTGTTTTTAGTAAGTCTCTAAAAATTTTCTGTATCAACAAAATTAAAACAGCTTAGAAAGTTTGCATCTTTTCACCTGCAAATCCATGATGGAAACTGACTCTGTTTTTCTCATCTTCAATGCTAATGAAACACAGGCAACCGCAACAAGTCTCAAGATCCATGGCCTCCCTTCCTGCATTAAAGAAAACCAGATAAAATCAGTAAATTCAGTATCAGCTTTTGTTTCATCAGAAAACGTTATACTTCAGTAAATTGATGAGAACAGAGGAAAATTAATAATTTACCAGAAAGGGTTGAGAGGAAAGGAAACGATCGAGATAGTTGATGGCAAGGTAGGATGAAAAACGATCAGATTTATGAGAAATTTGCAAGATTGAGGAGAAGGTTTCTTGTCTTAAATGCGGATGACATTCTTGACTGTATTTATTACAGGGAATGTAATCATCCTCAATGCTGAAGAGCAGAGAGTATGGTCTTGATTCATTGACTGATAATGAATCATCTGAGATTGGTAAAGGGTTTTCGAGATCAAAATTTTCACACTCCATATATTGAATTTGATTCTGTGGCAAAAACTGTTCTTGGGTTCACTGTGAATCTGTAGTGGGACGAGGAAGGACTAAATAAATGTATAGAGGGAAGCGAAGAGAGTAGGGGTAATGGCACTACAATTTTTAAAGATGGAAAAGGGGGGGGGGGGCGTGTGTGTAAGAAGACATAAGGGGAGGAAAATAATTGGGAGGGAGGGAATAACAAATTATTTATCATTTGATGGTACGGGTTTCAAATGTAAGGGTGTCTGTTATTATTCGGTTGATATGTATAGAATAATTTTATTTTTTTTTCAAAATAAATGAGTATCTTATGTGCTACTCAAAATTTATTCAGGAACACCTCAATATATGTTGATTATGCAAAAGATATATTTTCGGAACAAAAGAGTATATAATACTAGGTGTTAGACCCGTCCGATGGACGGGGAGCACATATACATAGATATTACTATACAAACAAATCAAAAAAATGTTAATATTTGTATAGATTTTTGTATTTTTATAAAATATATAATGAATTCATTGAAAAATATAAAACACAAACATCGACAACACTTTACAAAACGAATACACTTGTAATTTATTTAATGCAAAAAAAGATTGTTAAGAAATTAAAAAAAAATGAACTTTGAATTAAATAATTATATATTTTGCAATATTTCTTGGTAGACTACATTGGTAGTCTGGGATAGAAAAGTTGGCTAGGGTGGTTAAGAGATTATGATAAGGAATTTTTTTTTTTTTTTGAAAAGGTTTATGATAAGGAATGGTTACTACAGAAACAACAACCTAACCTGTTGTAGAGGTCATCCAATTTTTTAATAAGAAAAATTAAAAAAAAAAGGTTGGATATCAGGACCTTTTTCTAAAAATTTGGATTTCAAAACATTAAAAAAGAAGAAGAAAGAATAGCCATAATTGAAGCCTTTTAATATTTTTATTCTTTGCCAGAGCCATTCATAGCCCCGCTACATCAACCCATCACCATAGTATTTTAACTCAATTCCATATTTGAAGCTAAATTATAGAAGTTTCAGATTGGCCTAACTTCTTTAATTATTTTAATAAATTATTAATATAAAATTCTTTTTCAGTTGTGGTTTTTTTTAGGAGGAAGTGATCCGTCCATCGGATTTGTAGGGTTTGGTCGAATCAATATAGAGTTTGAATTTTTTCAGTTGCGTTTTTTTTTTTATTTTTATTGTTTTATTTTGTGCACTTTTATATTTAGAAAATTAAGAAAATGCCATTGCATTGGATTCTCTCTCTGGTTTTTGCCTTAGTATAGTTTATAGATTTGCATTGGATTTTACCACATTATCCACTTCACCACAATTGATAACATAAGCCAAATTGTAGAAATTATTAACAAAATTTCGAGGTGAAAAAGGGGACTGTCTTTAGAATAAACTATAATGTCATCAAATACATCTTTATTTTTAAGTGTCAATAGAAATTTTCCATGTTCCTGAGGTAATTTGAACGTACGCGTAAATTATTAAAAATAAAATAAATTTCTTATCATTAGACTACACATGTGTGCGTCAGCGCAATGGATACCTAAATTCACATTTAAAAAAAAAAAAAAAAAATCCCCCCTACGATTTCATAGAATTTGAAGCAAATGAAAACATACATTATCTATGGAGCAAAAAAGACTTAACATATGTGATAAATACAGAAATTCATTAATATAGTGTCCGATGTAGTATGTACGATGAAAAATTGACAAACTCGGTGGGACTCAATCCCCTTATTCCTCTCACGAGATGTATAACTCATCTATGCTGAAACGTGCACCCTAGGAATAAGACAGATTTTACGATCTTAGAGGAAATTTTATCTCATGCACATTTTAGTGTGGCCGCTAATTACACTTTTTTTTTTTTAGGGGAAATTACAATATCCTGTATTAATAATTTTGCCCCTCAAACTTCTTTTAGTTTAATATAAAACCTGATTAATATTATAGTGAAAGCAGAAAATATAGTATGTGAGGTATAGAAAATACTCTATCCGTCCCATAATTATTGTCTTGTTTGGATTTTCATTTCTAGTTTAAATTGTACTAAAAATGAAATATCAAATTAGATAATAATTTTAGAACAGAGAAAGCAAATATTCCACCGTTTCAGCTTAATATGTGGAATAATTTGAGCGAGCACGTTCAGTACATACTCAAACTAATTCTCATTTTGATTTAAAGTGAATATTTATCAGATATTTGAAAAAAGTCTCTCAATAATAAAATTTTCATTGCATGCTCAAATTCAATATCTAATTAAGAAGACGTACAACTTCCTCTTTTAGCTTCGGACCCTAATATTTTTGAGGTATTATTATCTATCTGACTCGATTCAAATTAGGTGAGACATTGATCTCGGACATAGGTTGGATGCGTGATGTATCAAGAAATTATTTTTAAAATGTATCTCGCTTTGCCTCAAGGCATTAAATTCACTCCCGATCCAAAACAAACATTAACCTCCAAATCTCACATTTAACGTCCAAATTTGAGAGAGCAAAAGAACAGTACAAATGTCTTTTCAACACTATGGCAGAGTGACAGCTTAGGTATTTATGTCGTAGAATGGATGGCGTTTTCTCAGTAAATACAAGAAGATTATCAATAAGACAAAAATAATTGGAACTTCTATGCAATCAGCATAGCAATTGCAACTTTTAGTTCAAAAGTGAAGTTTTTCTTTATTTTATTTTTTGGAAAATAAAAATGTTACTTATGGGTTTGCGAGAAAACAAAAGTCAATGTCTTGTCTTATGTCTGTGAATTTTTCCATAATAGCAAACTTTGACATCGAGGTCGACCAAACCTAAAAGAGGGTAATATATAGAACAATATCTTGTGACTTGGTCCATCAAAGTAAGTAGATTAATTATAGTTATGGTCCTCAAGGACAAATCAAAATTGTGTGTTAGCCTATAATCAAATTTCCGTGCAATTATCATAAGAATGTATCAATATGTAGAATTGTATTGACTAATTCGATAACCGCAAGAACGAGCTATTGGTCCAATAACAATTGAGGTTGTCAAAAATCTTGACCGTAAATTAATTTTTCGAATTACATTGGAAAAAAAAAAAACCTAACACCACATAAAGAACTGACTCAATTGTCCCCTACACATGTTATGACTATTTTGTTTAACCTATAGAATCTTGCTTCGCTCCAGATTAAGATCCGATCAATCCCAAATCTATCACTATATAACCAATTATACTACGCATGAATGTGAACGCGATATAAAACATTAACCACGATGTGGTTCTTGAATTGTCATTTGGACAGGGAAGAGAATGAATAAACGAAGGAAGATGATAAAATGGATTCAAGGCTGAGGTCGTATATTCCAAATTAATTGCCAATTATTTCCTGATTTTGGGACCAAATTTCTCCGGACAATTTTCTTTTTCATGCCCAGTCTTTGACAGGATCCAATGGATGAATGTCCCAGAAAAATTAATGCTTGTGGCCTTTTATGTATATGTTCGAGAACTAAGATACACATTTTAGTTGTGTTGCCAGAAGGAAACAAATATATTTGTACGTACATGCTATCGTCCACATACGAGAATCGACATTATCTTCAATCCCTTAATTGATTATAACTCTAGGGTTGTTACATTATTCTTTTCCCGCCCAAGAAAAAAACGGTCATATTTGTTTGTTGAAATAAAATGATTCGATAGGCATAACTGTTTTGTTTGTTGAAATAAAATAATTCAATAAACATCATAATCGTTTTAATGGGACAAAAGAGTAAGGTTAATAACTCAAATGACTAGAAGATCACTTTATTAATACAATTAGCTATTACGACCTTAGCTAAATCTTGCTACACATTGATAATAATATCGTCAGTCAACTTCATAACCAAATTCGATCAATTTTCAAGGGCTAGCTTAGAACAAGATTATTATTTGTTCATCAACAATTTGGGTTTTGGCAATCGAAATGTAAAAAGAACATAATACAATAAATATGAATTTTATTTTGAGAAGAAAGGAGTATGTGAAAAAGTAACGAGAGTGTCACTAGAAACTAGAAAGCAATGAGATAAAAGGTACCCAACTCAATTGTTTGGTTACTGGCTCAAGTACTGCTATAATATTTGAAGACAAACTCATCAAGAACTCCCTTTAACCATTTACAGACTTGGCCATAAAAAGCACTGACCAGTTTTACTTTTTTCCCCCCTCAATTTATATTTACCATACTGTTCTATCTCCATTGTTAGTACTATTATTAGCAGTATTTTTTTTATTTAAAAAAAAGAAGAAGAAAAAGTCTATTTCAGAAGAAACCTCCCAAAATTTCTCAAAGCTACAATGTAAAGTCAATAAGGAACAATCATTGCAAGAAGAAACGAGTTCCTTTAAAGCCTTTAACAATTCATTGTTAATTGATGTTTGGTGGTTTTAAAGCTTGATCGCTTTTGTTGGCCCTCTCAACGTTGTATTTTGCAAACCTAATCTTTGAAATAGTTGGCCAATCTATGCAACTACGCTTTGACCCGATGTTCCTTTTTATTTATTCGGTATTGTGGACAAAGCCATTTATATATATTCTATTCCAAATGAAGCTTATAAAGGATACATGAAAGAGGACTTTTTAAGTTCTTTATAGCATCGAAAATGTCCATTTTGATAGTTGAAAGGGGTTGGATTGGAGTGGGTCAAATTGTTGACATTGGGTTCTACACTACATGACCTAGTCAAACGTATTATTGCACACATACACATAATTTATAGAGAGCGGAAAGATACATATAATAAAAACTACTTCTATCCCAAAAAAATAATCCACATGAAGTTTTGAGTTTTGTACTGTTTTTAATACAAATTCGAAAACTTAAAATGGACTATTTTTTGGAACGGAGGTAGTATATAAATATATGTAGAGTATAATTGGATTGGATCATTAGAATCAAGAGAAATTATACAAATTTATATGATGTCTAGTCTAATTAGTCATCTCGTCCTCAAAAGCTATGTGAGATAAATACAAAAATGCTATCGGATTCTAACAAAAATGATACTCCTTGTCCCAAAAAAAAGTACATTTGAAATTCAATGTACACCCTTTTTTTTTTGGTGGACAGAAGTAGTATCCAAGAATGAATCAAATTAGAAATATCAGGGAAAAAAGAATCCATTTCATAGTTGTAACGACAAGTTTATGAATCTCATTAATAACATATTTTCTCTATTCCAAAAAAAAAAATAGTCTCAATTGATTGTTTTGAAATTTTTACTACTTTGAGTTCAAATTTGAAAAATTCAATATAGACTATATTTTTGCTTTAGTGACAAAGCTTGAAAAAAGAGATAAGAAGCTGTGAAATTAAAGCTTGCAACTGTAATCGGATTAATTAGCAAGGAAATTCGTATTTTTTTTATTGGATGCATTTACTTCTTGAGATTGTGATGTTGATTGTTCACTACTTTACTTCGCAGGGGAAGATGAAAGAAAATGCAGAATGTAATAACGACTACAAAAGTGAATTCGTAAACTGGTGCCACAAATGAAAAACGATTATAATTTTTTTTAATTTATTATAATCTTCAAAAAGCAAAACATAATAAGGGGACATTGATTTCTTTTTCGTTTATATAAATTTTTCTGAACTAGGTCACTAAATCTATTCACTCTTCTCTCATCGGTAATCCTGCTGAGTGGTAAATGCTCACAATTCGTCAATTACGTCAGACACATACTGACCTGACTGAATGTAATATATGAATCATTAAACACATCAATGATATGGAAATTAAATCCAACAATAAAATACTCCTAATATCATTGCAGTATGATTATTTGTTGAAATTTGTCTAGTGTAGATAATTTGTGATGTCTTTTCGCCATTGGATTCTAATTACTCGGCATCCGTTTTGTATTTATAACCAGATGCTCCCTCCGGTCCTTATTATAAAATATTTTAATTTATCTTAAATTTCACCTAATATGTTCTTCCTATTAAAAATAAAAAAATTTAGGATAAAAAAATGTCTTATAATAAATACATAATGAAATATTATACTACATGAGGTTGGTGATGAAGATCGTGGTTTCAAATCTTATAGATCCTCGTTTACCACGTGTAAAACTTAATTGTGAGTTGAAGTCGGGAACTTCGTGTCGAATGTTGAGACTTCTTCATAATTTCATGATTTATATATTACTTTCTTTGTCTCAGAATAACAATTTATATTAAATTATTTATACATTACTCTCTTTGTCTCAGAGAATCATAATTTCATTTTGTGTTTGTAAGAGAATTAGCCATCCGAATCTCCGTAAGATGTTGGATAGCTATTGTTCGAATAGCGAAACACCAAGCTACGAGTAATACATTTCTTTTTGACGCATTGGTATTTTCATACAGAGATTGCCCATCTCGTACGTTTTCCTTTTCTCCGCTCCCACTTTTCTTTGCGGATTGGTACTATAGTGTGTTTTTTTGGGGTTTTCTTTTTTTTTTTTTCTTTATATTTTTTTCCACTCAAAACATATTCGCACTCCACGCATTGGTACTAGAGAAAGCTGATCTCAAGAGGAAAGAAAAATGCTTGTGTATGTGAATGCATGCCAACCCAATGTCAAAATACGGCCATTTGGATTTATCATTTTCCTATAATAATGGTCAACCACACTAGTTGAGTTCTTAGGATTTGGACAATTGCAGTGAAAAATGTTGGGATTTGGGGGTGAGGTATTTGATTTGAAGAGAATTTGGGACTGCAGTGTTCATTTAGAAAGAAAAGGTGTACAATTAATGAGGATTAAAAAAAAAGGGAAAAAAAAGTCTCTCTATCCCAGAAATGAAATGTGCCACTAAAAATGAATAATCAATAACGCGATTACACAAAAATCGAACAAAATTTGCATTATACATATACCATTGGATGGCATATTTCTATGTCTTAGTTGCATGATGAACATTTTGATTCCTTTTTTTTTTTCGTTTTTCTTTTTTTCCCTTTTCAATCGATCAGAATGGTTTCATCTTAGTTTTTGGTTAGAATCTAAAGACATTACATTAAAAAATATGGGGAAAAAAAAGCTTGGGAATATTTTAAAAACCTAAGAAATGAGATTAAGAAAAATGAGAAGTGAAATGGAATAATTATCATATAATCATAGGTAGACAAAAAGGTTCACGGTGGCCGAAACCATTATGATTGTGATCAAAAGGGTTGCAAAATGAGTGAAGAGTGATTCCACATACTCACACACACAAACTCAGAGGATTCTACACATGCACTAACAGTATGATGAGTGGAAATTTCACGCCTTTCCCCCATGCACATAACACAATCATTATAAGGGTTTCTGTAATGTATGATAATTGGTGACTACATATATAGAGTTGGAAGTAAAGTGTACATATTAGGAGTGGGCCTCTTTATTTCTACTTTGGGACAACATCAGAAACTTATGTCCACTTGCATATGGACAATTTGGTGTGGCTTTTTTTTTGTTTTGTTTTGTTTTTTTTTTTTTTTAGTTGGGGGGTGTCTTCTCAAACCTCACAATATATACTGTAATAAAGCGTAAAATTGGCAAAGTTGCTCTGCTAGAAAAATGTTCGCCACGCTGTGGTTGTGCTACACCAAAAGAGCATTGGTTAGCCCATCGTTGCTGTAGTAGAACAATGAACATGTACTTGTGATTATCCCGAAAGAAATAACTACAACAAAAATTATGTAATTTTAATGAAAACTAGTTTTATAAGACAGATTGAGCATTATTCACTACTTGGTTAACTTTTATATTTAATTCAACTATGACACGAGCGAGCAATAACAACATTGAGAGCTTGGTAGAGAATGGCTCCAAACTAAACCTCAACTCAACAATGTCCAAAGTTCAGAGCAACAAAAAAATCAAGTTATGGTTGCAAAGTGAACAGAACTCACTGTCGAAAATTCCACCATCTTCAATTTTTTGTACCATAATTATGTTGATATAATGAACTCTAAATCAATTGTTAGACAATGAGTTTTTTTTTTTTTTTTTTGACAAACGTTAGACAATGAGTGAAACTGACCAACAATTTTATATCTTGATATTCAGTTAGTTATAAACTTTCCGAATGGGGCAATAACTGTAACACAATGTATAAAAACACACAAATAAACGGGAAATGACCCAAACTAAAACAATTCTGTATACCGTGTGGAGGTCAATGAGTCATGGTGGGTTCATTGTAGTCATATGTGGCTGTCGGAGTGAGTATCTGAAAAATGGATCGGGCCTGTGTAGGAGCAAGCGGGCTCTCTCTAAGACTGGGTTATACGAGAGATTACGCAGGATATAGACATTTCACATCGGTTGGAGAATTTATGGGTTTTTGTACTATGGGCTACAAGGTTTAACAGTTAAGAAAAGGGAGTATGAAGTGTTTCATCTGGTTATTATTATTATTATTTACTTTGTTTCTCCAAAAAATAATGTCTTTCTTAATTTTGGTATGTGATATACTGATGTACCCGTCAATTATACAAGTAGATCAATATAAGTTTATTCACAGTAAACACAATAAGTGAATGTTGTTAGTTGTGTTTGACTGTTTATTTTTATTATTTATCGTTGGACAATTTTTCGTGAATGAATAAAAGTACTATTTAATTTATTTCAAAAAATAATAATAAAAATCAAGAATTACACTTCATCTTTGACTTTTTAATTGATTTCTGTCCGTGAAAATAAACACGTATGTCAATGTGTGTACGATTAGGGAAGCCTCCAAGGCCTCAATAATCGCGGGGTTTTCGTGTTCAAGCGAGTAAAAACGACACAAATTTGATGGCAATTCCAATTCATGTTCTCGAATATATTTCTGAGAGGGGATTGAACAAGATCGTAAGTTAGAATCTCCATAACCGGTGGACAAATCGTATAGGATATACTCTTATAATGTGTTGATCTAATGTTATTCAGGAATGTATTCACCCTTCATACAATACCTTTTGCGTCATTGTCTGTTTCTGATGAGTTGAATTTGCATGCATCTGAAACAAAACTAATCAAGTGGAATTGCTGAATTTGAAACAATCTCATGTCATTTCACATGCAGAAAAAGGAGCATTAAATTAAGCCCATATTTGTAAAGAAAGAAATTGCTGAATCGGAAGTAGGTCTTCGACATTTATTTTGAGATTATCACACCCTTATAGTCACTAAACATTCTAAAAAAAGTAAGAAACAATATCAAATACAATCGAAAAAAGTTCAAAAAAAAAAAAAATCAATCGGAAAAAAGTGCAACGTAAATTGCTCCGATGAATGATTCATTCTTTATAAAATAGAAGCTTAAACTGCAAGGCAGACACCATCATTATTAAGAGGTTTGAAGATCCACTATATTTATCTTCCCAGGTGGGCAACCTTGGACTTGATGAGTTGAATAACAGAATCATTGAGATTGAAAGCCGTAGACAAGACATCATCAGGGATGAGAGGAATGGAGTCAAAAAGAGTTGGAGCCATCTTAGAGATGCCTGGATTCTGACTGTTGAAAGAGGCATAGAATTGAGCCCTTCCTTCTCCAACATTCAGCTGAAAATGAACCATTCCTGGAGGAATCACAAACAGCTCCCCGGCAGACACCACTTTCCAGTACAATATGTATTCCGTGGATACCCAACCCGCCAACAGTTTTCCCTCCACCACCAGTGATAATTCCGTCGCCCGAGGATGGGTGTGGGGCGGGTTTAATCCTCCGGGAAGAAACTCCACCCGATTCATCGACATTCCCAGTGTATTCAGTGCTGGAAATGCAAAGACATCGACTTGAGTTAGGTTCACATTTAGGGTATCGAATTCGTTTCCTCTTTTCGTCAGCCCTTCGAAGAAGAAATCTTTCGAAGATGCATCGGCGGGTTTTTTGCAAGGAAACCCATTAATTATTGGGGATTTGGATTCCAAATCCGGAATGCAGAAGTCCTGCAACGGAGTCGGATCAACACTTAGGGAAGGCCATGGCAAACAAACTGACACTATTGTCAGCACTAAGATCAGGGAAAGATTAATTTGGTAAGCCATTTTGTTTTGATGATTTTTTTTGGGAGCTTTTCTTTTTTTTTTTTGAAATTGCTTTTGCTTGCTTGAAACTTGAAACTTGTGTGCTTCAAATGAATAACCTCTGCACCCTTTTATAGACGAAATTTGTTCGTGCCTGCACGCATGCATGGTCTTATTTTTGCTTTTACTGATAAAACAAAGTATGAAATTATTATCCATTTGAATTTGACTAAGAATTTCAGAAGAGAACAAACTTTGGGGAGTGAAGGTCTAAATGTAAATATTTCAGGGGTGACGTCTTTTTTCCTATTTTCATTTGATTATTTCAGAATAGGCCAAAATAATTGTCTTCTCAAAGTAGGCAGGAACCAGGATGCCCTACTTAATTTCTCTATCTTTGATTGGATGGGGCTATGGGGGTACTTATACATTGAGATTTCTATTTTTTTAAAAAAATAAGTCATGTATGACGTAAAATCGGTATTCTTTTTTCTTCCAACACAACACCCCTCTCCCCTCCCTCCCTTTCTCTTTGTTTTTATTATTACATTTCAGAATCTATAATATTCATAAAATGCCAGAGGCTTGATTGAGGACTACTGAATTCGAAAAGCATAATGTTTTCTTTTATACTCCCTCCATCCCAAAATAATTATCTAATTTAGATTTTTAATTTTAATACAAATTGAACTAAAAGTGAATATTCGAACTGGACTATAATTTTAGGACATATGAAGTATATGTTTTTACAATAGTTACATACGTTGAAGTCGATCTGGAACATGCATGGATTAAATCATCTAAGCATCACAAACCATTGTAAGACATAATATTATAGGTTTATTATTGGGAATGAACTCTATTGATATGGTGGTGCTGTTTTGAGTGCATTTAATGATAATCATACAAACCAAAATATGCCTTATTTAAAATGAATTAAGACTTCTACTACAAGACTTGATGATGACGGCTGAAGATGATGATTAGTCTATTATTGTTGAAGTCTTGCAGCCGTTGATCTTATTATTGTTGTAATCCAGCTGCTCAAGTGAATTACTACTTGACGGCTTAATCCAAAACATATTACCCTATTTTGTGTTGTTGAGTATTTCATCCTTATCTTTCCGTTCACCTTTACCACACCTTATACTCAAAGAGTTACTTTCTGAGTTAAGCGGTAAAGTCATCATTTATATCCTACTATATTAGAAATAAAAATCCCCCTTTCAAACACCTCATATGATTGTCACATGACCTGAACAAAGTACTAAATTACCCTTTTGGTCAACCATAACTAAATTACTAAATCCCCCTTTGCACTTTACGTGACACGCTTTTTTTTAAAAAAAAAATTTCTTTATGTTTCATTCAATTAAAGCGGTTTTATTTTCTTAATTATGGAGTCTAAATTGAATTGATCAATTAGGTTTTTGTTACAAAGTATTAATTTTATTTTAAGCGTATACCCTTCGGATGAAACTTATTACAAAACTATTAAAAATCTCCAAAACTAAATATTGATTTGGCACGACCAATGGAGAACATCAATAAATCATCTTACTAATATTTAAACTTATTAGGATATTTTTATATTTTGTCTAACATTTACTTCGACAGATATATTTGATTAAGTCTATTTATATTTAATAAGTAACACTTATAAAATATTTCTAAAACATACATGGCGAAATACAATTTATTTTTTTGTTAAATACAAATATTTCTATGATCACACTTATAAAACATTTCTAAATCCTTCAAATATTTCTAAAATATATCGCTCCAAATACAATTTTTTTTTCAAATATAAACATTTCTAAGATCTACAGATAGACTGGGCCAAGGTCGCGCATTGCGCGACCAGACATCACTAGTCCTTTTAGAAGAGAACTCTAAATCTCTAATAGAAGAAAAATATGGTGTCGCATATTTTATTGTGTGCTCTAATTCAATATTTTATTTTCAGGAAAATTTTAATTATGTGTGCTCTAATTCAATATTTTATTTTCAGGAAAATTTTAATTATGTGTGCTCTAATTCAAAATTTTATTTTCAGGAAAAAAACCGGCAGCCGTATTTGGGTAATAAAAAATTTTCAAATTTAAAATTACAAAAAAAAAATATATTTTTTGTAATCAAACTAAATCACTAAGTTGAAACTTCGTGGTTATAATGACTAGAAAATCCAAATAAAATATTTTTTTAATATTCAAACTCAATCAATTTAATACCCATATTCCTAAAAAATATTGAAATCTAATGCGTAAAAGTACAAGAAAAATTCAAGTAAAATATTTTTCTTATATTTAAGCTCAAAGAAATTGAAATTATAATAATATTAATACGACTTAATTTGCATACCATCTTCTTTTACCTCATTTTTGACTGCTCACTTATTCTTTGTACTATCCATTTTTTTAGATTCTATTTCATAGTCAAGAATTAGTCGAATACGTAGTATTTTCTTCACAACTAATAATCAACAATACATTTTAATATATTTCGTGCAACACATGATAGAGAACCTAGTTAGTTTGACATCTTATCTCAAACTGAGCCGGGGCTGGAAGCACAGTTTGTTGAGAAAGAAGGGGGAGAGAGCTCTTTAACACAGGTTTAGTAAAGATGTCTGCAACCTAGTGATCAGAGGGAACATGCCTGGTAATAAGTCGAGCAAGAGCAACTCGTTCCCGTACAAAGTGATAATCCAGCTCAATTTGTTTGCTAAAAGCATGAAAAATAGGATTAACAATCATGTAAACAGAACTAATGTTTTCACAGTGTAGAATAGGGGGAGACTGCAGATGAATTCTAACATCTTGGAAAATATAACTTAGCCAAGTTAATTCAGCAGCGGTATTCGCCATTGCACGATACTTGGCTTCAATGCTGGAGCGAGACAGAGAGTGTTGCTTCTTAGCACACCAGAAGATGATATTGTTGCGAAGAAATGTACAATAACCAGTAGTTGACTGACAAGTAAGTGGACACCCCACCCAGTCTGCATCAGAAAAAACATATAACCTGAACTAGAGGAAGCAATAAGATATAGACCAAGAGTTATTGTACCTTTAATATAACGAAGAATTCTATGAACAAATTTTAAGTGAGCAACTTTGAGAGAGTGCATAAATTGAGAAACATAACTAACACAATAAGAAAGATCTGGGCGAGTTAATATGAGGTACTGAAGCGCGCCAACAATGTTGTGAAACCAACGGAGATCATCGAGTGAGGGTGAATTAGGAACAACAACCTTTGCATCAAGGGATGTAGGCATGGGCTTGCAAGCAAGCATGTTAGCACTGCCAAAAATAGTGTAAGCACAGTGAGTTTGAGACGGAAACAAACCAGTGGAGGTAGGAGAAACTTCAATACCATGAAAATGATAAATTAAGGCTAAATCTTTCATTGAAAATTCTTGATTCAAGATAGAAAGAAAAATTGAAATAAGGGAGCATGATGAGCCAGTTAACAACATGTCATTAACATAAACTAACAGAACTATCAAAGTGAAAAATGAATAAAGATGGATCAGCCAGACTAAGTCAATCAGCCATATTTAAGCAAAAATTTACTACGTCGATCAAACTAGGCTCACGGAGCTTGTTTAAGTCCATAGAGGGCCCGTTGAAGTTGCAAACATGAAAATGATAAAGAGGATCAGCCATACCTGGGGGTTGTTCCACATACAAATTTTCCTCGACATAGCCAAGAAGGAACGCATTTTTGACATCAATGTTGCCGTATTGGCAATATTTGATCAAAACCACAGTAAGAATTAATCGAATGGTACCTGGTTTAATTACAAGAGAGAAAGTTTCATTGTAGTTGATACCATCAACTTGATGAAAACCCTTGGTGACTAATCAGGCCTTGAGATGATCAAGAGAGCAGTCAGCCTTGAGCTTTGACTTGAACACCCATTTGGAGTGAATACATTCATATGAGATGTGCATGGGACAAGAATCCAAGTTTTGTATGGATGCAAGGAGACCATTTTATCAACCATTGCAACTTTCTACCTCGGATGTTGAAGAGCGACTTTGACAAACTTTGTTCGCGAGGGATGGTAGGAGATATTTCAACAGTTAATGCATATTGAAGATTTGGTTCAACAATGGCAAGCTGGGATTGAGTGGTCATAGAATGAGTAGGAGGCGGGTTGGAGGTGGAATCAATGGAGTCATGAACCGAGGAGGGAGAAATAGAAGGTGAAGAAATGGGTGACTATAAGGAGGCTGAGGGCACAGGTGAAAAAAAGGTCGGAGACGCAGAAGATGTGGACAAATCATACTGAAAATTAGTGTTCAGAACTAAAGTAGAAGTGGGGAGAGGAGTGTGTTCACAGGTGAAGTATTACTGAACAAGGATTACAGACTAAGGGTTCGGTTGAAGAAGTTGGATGCGGGATGGATTGAAGGCGGGTGATTTTTTAGGAGCAGGCTAGAGGTCATCTGAGACTAAGGTGGCAACCATAAGATAAAGATGCACAAAATCTGATTATGAGACGGAGACTGACAGGATGATTTAAATGGATACGTGGACGGATCAAAAAAAATTTCGTGACGGATCAAAACACTTATGGCCCTTGAATTTGACACGATAACCTGCAAACACACAGAAAACAAATTTTGCATCAAACTTGTGACATTTAGTATCCCAATTATATGGAAAACTCTTAGAACCAAATACTCGCAACGACGAATAATCGGGATGACTTTGATGAACTTTAAAATAAGGTGTATCAAACTCATGTGTGGAAGAGTGCAAGCGGTTAATGAAATAAACCGCAGTTGTTAAGGCTTTGATCCATAAATAAAAAGGTGAATGACTATGAAACATCATGGTCATTCCAAGTTAACGAATAATGTGGTGTCACCTTTTAACAGTGCCGGCTTGTTCGGGAGTAAACTAACATGAAACATGATGAATTGTTCCTGTATTGAGAAAGTGGGAGGACAATTGATTATTTAATGAATTCCACTACCATCAGAATGAAACACTTTGATACACATGTT